TTAAGTTTGAGCCTAAATTTTCCTTGAGAAACTGTATAGTTCTAGGTTTCACATTTAAGTCTTTGATCCATCTGGAGTTTGTTTTTGTGTGTGTGATTCTCTACCAAGCTTGACATCCTTCTCCAGAGACTGGTCCCTTCTGACAACATGACCAAAGGAGGTGAGACGAGGTCTGGCAATTCTTTCTTCTGAGGACCATTCCGGCTGTATGTCTTCCAAGACAGATTCATTTGCTCTTTTGGCAGTTCATGGTACTTTCCATATTCTTCGCCAACACCACAATTCAAATGCATCAATTCTTCTTCAGTCTTCCTTATTCATTATCCAGCTTTCACATGCATATGAGTCTACTGAAAATACCATGGCTTGGCTCAGGCACATCTTAGTCTTCAAAGTGACATCTTTGCTCTTTTAACACTTTAAGGAGATCTTTTGCGGCAGATTCGCCCAGTGCAATACAACATCTGATTTCTTGACTGCTCCTTCCATGGGCATCAGTTGGATCCAAGTGAAACGAAATCCCTGATAGTCTTTTCTCCATTTATCATGATGTTGCTTATTTGCCCAGTTGTGAGGATTTTTTTTTCTGTATGTTGAAGTGTGATTCATACTGAAGACTGTAGTCTTTGATCTTCATCAGTAAGTGCTTCAAGCCCTCTTCACTTTCACCAAGCAAGGTGATGTAAGTCATCTCTCTTGGTGATAGAAGTCAGAATGGTGGTTAGATCTGGGTTGGGGAAGTAATCGACTAGTTGTGGGGGGCAAGAGGGGGCTTTCTGGAGTGTTGGAAATATCGAACATGTTGATCTAGGTGGAGCTTACACATATGTCTGACCGGTTACTATCGAGTCAGTTCTGACTCATGGTGACTGGTGGTGCAAATGGTTAATGGCAATTTGAGTCCAGCCAGAGGGGCTTTGAAAGAAAGACTTGACAATCTACTTCCGAAAAAACAAGTCACTGAAAACCCTATGGTTCTACCCCGACACATCTGAGGTGGCCGTGAGTTGGAATCAGCTTGACAGCAAGTGGTTTATACATATATACAAATTCACTGATGAGGCTCAGAGACTCCAGCCTTCAGTGGGGATTACACCTCGACATAAAGGATACAAAAATCCTCACAACTGGATCAATAAGCAACATCATGGTAAATGGAGAAAAGTTGAATTTGTCTAAGATTGAATTTTACTTGAATCCATCATCAAGACCCATGTACTTAATCATCAGGAAGGGTCATGCTTGGTAAACCAGACAGTGAAAAGAGGAAGGCCCTCAATGACCTTGACTGACGTGGGGGCCGCGGTGACGGGCTCATGACGTGGACTGACGCGGGGGCTGCGGTGATGGGCTCAATTAAGCCCAGCAAGGATTGTGAGGCTGGCGCAGGACCAGGCAGTGTTTCTTTGGTTCTGTTGTCAGGGGGTCACTATGAGTTGGAACTGACTCAACGGCACCTAACTGCAACACCACAGATTCATTGAAATGTACACTTAGAACTTGTGCGCTTTGCTGTGTGTAAGTTACACCTTAGTTGAAAAAACAAAAAGGGGAAGCAATGGAGAGTAATCCCATAACAGGTGACCTCAGGGCCAATTCCTTCATGAGAGCCAGGAGGTGGGACAGACTGCCAGAGCGGCCGCAGACGCTCCATCGGTTGGCGGGGCCTACAGAGCACTGTTTCTGGACCTACATGCCACTGAGCCATCTCCAGGCCGCCCCGCCCCGAGTGTGCTAAGCTGGTGATGGGAGCGTGAGGAGGGCTGTGGGTGCCAGTTTATATACATGATGCCCAGGGCTCGAAGGTACAGCTGCTCCTAAGCCTCTCCTTCTCCTTAGTAGCACTTGGCACAGTGGTGTGTACACAGTAGGTGGTCAATAAATGCTTGTTGACTGGCTCGATGTGAGAATGAGCTAGTAGCTTCGTGCCTCCTGGATCTTTTCACTTGGAGAAATACAGGTGCTTTGCCTGCAAGCTGATGCCTCTTGGCATCAAGAAGTCATGAATGGAATGGTTTCATGAAGCCCCCAAAAGAGGTGGGAGCTTCTCATCCATCTCACTTTAAGCGCTGGCATCCAGCTTGGGTAAGGAGCTCTGGTGGCACAGTGGGTAAGGCATTTGGCTGCTAACCAGAAGGTTCGTGGTTCAAACCCACCAGCTGCTGCATGGGATGAAGATGAGGCCATCTACTTCTGTAAAGACTTACAGCCTTGAAAACCCTATGGGGATCACTCTGAGTGGGAATGACTCAATGGCAGTGGTCTGGTTTGGTTTGGTTTGATCCAGCTTGGGCAGGGGGTGGGTGAAGAGCTGAGAAAGCGCATGAAAAGCCCACAGGTGTGGCCCTGCCACCTTGCAGCTGCGTGACCTTGGGCAAGTTACTTCTCTGGTCGTCTCGCTTCCACATCTGTAAGATGGGGAGCGGACTGCCTGCCTCAGAAGGTGGGAGGATAGGAAAGTGTTCTGGCAACTGTACAGCCCTTCTCAGGGTCTCTGGGGGCAAGCGATGACACGGGGTGTTACAGAAGTGACGCTGCCCAGCTGGACCCTGTCCGTGGGCCAGCAAGTGTGCAGCAGGGATGGGCGAGGGACAGTGTCCACCATGTCAGGGCCTCCCCTCTCCCACAGCCCTCCTCCATACCCGTGGACCTGATGGCAGACAGCACCTTACAGGTGGAGATCTCGGATGCAGTGAGTGAGCGGGACAAGGTGAAGTTCACCGTACAAACCAAGGTGAGGCTGCCACGGCAGAGAGGGGACGTCCCGGAGAACCGCCTGCGGGGGCCTGCTTCCCTCAGCCTCTGGTCCCCCTTTGAGGGGGTCGGGGACAGCTTCCATCAGCACCTTTGGACCCTGTTCTGAGAGGGAGCCTTCAGCCTATCCCTGCCCCTCTTAGAAACTTGTCCCTAGTTCCCTGAGGCATCCTGAGTGACATCAGAGACACTTTAGCCCCAACCTGGGCCCCACCTGGGATGTGGGATTGGGAGCCTCACAAGCGGGTGCCCGGGATGCTTGGTGGGTGCGGGTCTGGGCAGGGGAACCTGACAGACCTCCTGGCTTCCAGAGTTGCCTCCCTCACTTCGCCCAGACGGAGTTCTCGGTCGTTCGGCAGCACGAAGACTTCATCTGGCTGCATGAGGCCTACGTGGACAACGAGGAGTACGCGGGCGTCATTGTGAGAAGGGGCGTGGGCCAGCCGCTGGGCAGGTGATGACCCCCCAGCCAATGGGAGGCCTCCCAGCGCTGCCCCTCCTTTGACAGATCCCCCCAGCCCCTCCCAGGCCAGATTTTGAGGCATCGCGGGAAAAGCTGCAGAAGCTGGGTGAAGGGGACAGTTCCATCACCCGGGAAGAGTTTGCCAAAATGAAGCAGGAGCTAGAAGCGTGAGTGCCACCTCTCTCCCTAGCCTTTGGCAAAGCTCTCAGCCCACCCCTCCCCAGAGCCCCAGGATTTCTTCCGTGACCCCAAGGTTGACCTACTGTGACCCCGGGGCCACTGAAGGAAGGGGGTGTGGGGTGATCAGAGCCCAGGGGAGCCCGCTCACCGCCCGCTGTTCCTTCAGGGAGTACTTGGCAATCTTTAAGAAGACGGTGGCCATGCATGAAGTCTTTCTGCAGCGCCTGGCGGCCCACCCCACCCTGCGTCAAGACCACAACTTCTTTGTCTTTCTGGAGTATGGCCAGGATGTGAGCTCCCTGGAGTGATGGGGTCACCCCCAGGACCGGGAACTGAGGCTGGGGTGGGGTGGGGAGCAGGGCTGGAGGACACAGGATGCAAGTGTGGAGGTGGGGCGTGCCGGGGCAGGGGCAGGTGCCCTCCAACACCACGTCGTCTCCGCGTGTGTCTCAGCTGAGCGTCCGAGGGAAGAACAGGAAGGAGCTGCTGGGGGGTTTTCTGAGGAACATTGTGAAGTCCGCAGATGAGGCCCTCATTACCGGCATGTCAGGGCTCAAGGTGACCCTGGGCCCCTCCCTGGCTTCACCCCGAGCCTCCAGTCCACAGCCAGGCTGTCAATGGGAGGGGTACGGCGGGGTGGCTCGAGGGAGACTGTGCCAGCCCGGGTGCCTGTGGCTGCCATGTGACCTGAGTGTAAGTGGGTCCCGTCTGGCCCCCTTAGGAGGTGGATGACTTCTTTGAGCACGAGAGAATCTTCCTGCTGGAGTATCACAGCCACATCCGGGACGCCTGCCTGCGGGCGGATCGCGTCATGCGCTCCCACAAGAGTACGTGGGGCCTGGGCCCCGGATTCCCCCGCCCCCTCTCCACTGTGGTCCTTGTTCCTGGGGGAGAGGAGAGCAGGAATCCCTGGGAGCCTGTCCACAGCCATGATCAGCAAGGGCGGGGAGCGATGTGCAGCTGGAGGGGCCCTGATTGAGGTTGTTCCCCCATAGGCCTGGCAGACGATTATATCCCTATCTCCGCGGCGCTGAACAGTCTGGGAGCACAGGAAGTCAACCAGCTGAAGATGTGAGGACTCCCCACCCACTGCCGCCCTCTCCCTATGCCTGTAATACCGGGTCTGTCCATTAGGGGTCACTCTGTAGAAGGCTATCATCATCTCTAGGAGAACGTGCAGAAGCGCCTGCTGGGGTTTGGGCAAGAGGAGGGGGAGATTTCCCCAAGGAGGGACTAAGGGCGGGGAGACTGTGTAGCCCTCGCTGCGCTCTCACTCCAACCTCCTCCCACCACCTAGGAGCTTTCACAAACTGGCTGAACTCTTTGAACGACTAAGGGTGAGTACACCTTCTGTGTTGAGAGGCTTCCCCAGTCGTCCTTTCCGGCAGGAATCAGTCCTGGGAAAAGGGGAAAGCCCCAGGATCATTTTGGAATGGGCAATAACTCAGGCCCAGGGATGTCCTGGACTCACTCCAGACAAGTTTAAAAAGAAGTGGTGTGATGGAGACAAGGACCCAGCCTTGAGTGTGTGCGTGTGGTGATGGGGGTGGCAAGGGCTGGGCCGGGTGAGGCACAAGGATGTGCCACATGCCTCTGGCAGGCTGCCCCTGCTGCCAACATCCTGCCCCAGACACGCACTTCCTGGACTCTTCTCCAAGCCAGTGGAGTGTGCTGATCTTTCTAAAGGTCTGTTGGAGCACATCTTTCACCTGCCCGAGGCTCTTCAGTGCCATGGCCCCTTCCAGAAACCCCCCGACATAAACCCCAAAGTCCTGAGCTTGTAGGTCTGTGATCTGGCCACTGCCTTCTTTAATTGCTTTGCCCAGCAACCCCCACATTGACATTTTGGTTCTGCAAACACATTACCAGGCTTGTATACCTGCAAATCTTTGGCTTTTTGCCTGTTGGCTAACTCCCACTCAACCCCCAAGACCCAGGTCAGATGCCACCTCCTCTATGAAGCCTTCCCACGCCTGTTCCCCTGAACATCAGGGCCCGTCTACAGTGGGTATCAGTTACTCTTTGCTGGATATTGGGCTGAGGCCCTTGGTTCCTTAGCTAACTGTCTGGCAAGCTCTCTCTGCAGTCCCCATCTTCCCAACAGAAACTGGAAGGCCGGGTGGCCTCTGACGAGGACCTGAAGCTATCGGACATGTTGCGGTACTACATGCGGGACTCACAGGCGGCCAAGGTGAGGGGCACCGCCAGAGTGGCCCTCAGGGGTAGAGGCCGGCATGCATGGCCAAGCCGGGTAGGGCAGTGTGGCTGTGGGCAGCAGGGACCCTGGGTCTGTGTCCACCCAGGACCTGCTCTACCGGCGGCTGAGGGCGCTGGCCGACTATGAGAACGCCAACAAGGCGCTGGACAGGGCGCGCACCCGGAACCGGGAGGTGCGCCCCGCCGAGAGCCACCAGCAGCTGTGCTGCCAGCGCTTCGAACACCTCTCCGACTCGGCCAAGCAGGGTGAGCCCCGCCGTCCGGAACCCCCACCGCTAGGCCATCTGCCCTGTCAGGCCCCATTGCTCTCCTCTCTCCAGAGCTCATGGACTTCAAGTCCCGTCGCGTGTCTTCCTTCCGCAAGAACCTCATCGAGTTGGCGGAGCTGGAGCTCAAACACGCCAAGGTGAGCCCCCAGCCCCAGCCCCACCGCCAGCCGCCAGGTTCGCAGCCAGCCTTTGCTGGGCTTGGAAGCACGTTGGAGGGTCAGGGTACCGCAGCCCCTAAGCAGTTCCACCTGAGGTTCAGGGCGGGTGCCTGCCCTCGTCATCATCGCGGGTCATCTCTCCAGTGGCACAAGATGTCTGGCGTCTGGGAACAGTGGCTTCCAGTTGAGGGCCCAAGGGGAGGGCAGGCAGACAACAGGCCCTCCCCCCACAGGCCAGCACCTTGCTGCTCCAGAACACCCTGGTCGCCCTTCAGGGGGAGCCCTAGAGCAACCAGCCACTCATCCCTGCCCCGGGCCCCCAGCAAGCTGCCTTCTTCCCCACCTCAGCAGCCACTAGCCATGCTCCATGCACCCAGGCCAGCCCGGACCTGGCCCTGTACCTGGCCCCAGGTAAGCAGAGGCCCTGCAGGAGCCGCTCCAAAGGCCCCCTCCCCCCTCCCAGCAGGCCGAGGGCAGCCTCCGCTCTGGAGAACAGTGGCCTGCCCCCCCACCCCATTCTTCACTAATAAAGAGCCTGGTTTTTGTAGCAAGAGACCTGCTCAAGTCCTTACTTCCCACGCTTGCCCAGCCCCCACCAGGGCACTGTGGAGCCCACAACCCGGGGCCAAGTGGGGGGATGCTGCAGTGTCCCGAACAGCTCCAGCAGGGTCTCCGTGGAAACCACAGACCTGCCTTCAATCCGGGCCCCCACTCCCACAAACCCCAGTGGGACACGTGAAGACCCATCAAAATCCTCTACCCGTTTTTCTCAACAGTGAAATGAACTACTCCTTCCTCCCTCCTCCAGAGCTGGGGTGAAAAACCAGCACATGCAGGCTTTTTCCAATCAGTTGAAAGAGAAATGAACCATCCATCCATCACTAGCCCCAACTAGGGTCTTAAGAGACCTTTGGCCCAAAGTGCTGGCTGGAGACAGCCCCCAGCAAAGCAGCCAAAGGCCCAGGGCTGAGCCAACACCCTCTTGGTTAAACACAAGCAGGCGGGGCCCAAGACACTTGGGTCTGAAGTCCTGGGTTCTACCTGGCTGGCCCCACCCTGAGTGGGTTCCAGCCACATCTGCCAAGGCCAGAGGCTCAACTTGGCCTCTGCCCCACAGCAGCCACTGGGCCTGGCCCTTTGCCCTCGACGCAGGGCAGCCATCCAGGGAGAAGAGGGCAGAGGTGGGGACACCAAAGAGAACCTTAAGGTAACCTGTGACACCCAAGGAAACTCATAGCCAACAGGTACCAGGGTCCACCCTTAAGGCCACCTCTGCCCCAGGGCCCCCTGCAGGTAGCAGCAGACACACCCTTGCTCTGCCACCCCTGAACGGCCAGCCTGGCACTGACACGGCACCACCCACAGAAGAGTGGTGACCCCAGAGAGAGGCTCAATGGGTGTAGAGGCAGCCCGGGATATGTGGGGCCAGTTGGGGGGCCGAGTGCACAGCAGAGGCGCCGCTGGTTCTTCTAGCCTCCCCTGCCACTAACACCCCATTAGTCAGCTTTTTTATTGTTTTTTTTTTTTTTTTTTTTTAATTGAAGGTTCCTTACTGGTCCTGGCTCCAAAGGAGGGGCCGTGACCAGGGGAAAAGGGGAGGGGGACCAGCCGGCATGGGGAGAGATCATGTCCACAACATTCCATTTATACACAGAACTAAACAGACAAGCACGGAGTCACCACTGTGGTTAGAAGTTGGCAGCCTGGGAAGGGGGAGGAGCAGGTGGGGACTGGGGGTATCGTTAAAAAAAATACAGGCACCTCCCAAACTGGGGTGCCTGGGGAGACTTGGTCTGCTTCAACCCAACAGGAAACAGAAGATCAAAAGCGGTTTGGGAAGGCCAGAACCGTCAGGGGTGGAGGGAGGAGGAAGGTCCGGGGGGGGGGGCTGTTTGGCAACTGGGGTGAAGGGATTCCCCTCCCCTGCTGGGATTCCCCCCAGCCTCTCCGGTCTGGCAGGAAGGGGGCAGCCTGCAGCCCCCATGGGCAGGTCTGGGGCTGCCGGATGCTCCAGGCAGGGGGCTGGAGGGGGCTCACAAGGGCTTGCCCTCCAGGGAGATGACGGCACTGCCCCCCAGCTTCTCGGCCAGGGTGCAGCGGTCCTTGACCTCCTCCAAGCAGTTTGCTTGTAATTCGTGCTTGATCCCTGTGGGAGAGAAGGGGAGCAACTGTGAGCAGGAAGCATGGGGGTGTTCTGGGCCTGGGAAAGAGCCAATCGGAGCAGATGGACCAGGCCATGGTCATCTTCCAACAGGCAGGGAAGAGCGAGGATCCCCTCCAAACGGGGCTCACTGGTCCCGGTGGCAGGCCCTTACCTGTCAGCTTCTTCTTGATGGCATCCTTGGAGCTAGCGTAGATCATTTTGCTCTTAAGGGGTGCACACTCGGGGGCCCTGGAGAAACAAAAGAGCAGGGAAATGGCAGTACCGCTCGCTGTGTGTGCAGCAATCGCCCTCGGGCAACAGGTGAGCAGTGAAACCCTGGAGGGACCTCTAGGATCGTTTTGTCATTACCTATTGATAGCAAAACGTTTTGTGACAACTGACTCACCCCCCCACATACACACACACAGCAGTGGGTTACACCGGGAGCCACACAAGTTCCCATTCTGAACTAGGCTAGGGCAGGTGGCGGAAGAAACGCCTGAACAAGGGGCTCACCAGAAGATAAACACCAGGTCCTCCTTCTTGCTCTCCTTGGTCTCGTAAGTGGCGTCATAGAGGGCGTAGCGGCAGTCCTTGTCTGGCAGCATCTTAACAAAAGTGGCGTAGGGGTCGTCCACAGTCTGGCCCACGTCACCGACCAAGATCTCCTTGCCTTCCTCCAGGATGATGTTCTTCTTGTCCTCACTCAGGCAGAAGAGCACCGCCTTCTTGCGCTTCTTCACCTCCTCCGGCGTCGACGATTTACGCACCTTCATGTCATTGAACACCTTGATGACACCGTCAGAGACAGCCACACCAGAGGCCTGGGAGACGAGCCACACACCCCGCGTGAGGAGCAGGCTCCTGGGATCTCCTAGAAGCCTCTCCGGAGACCCCTGAGGCCACCAAGCACAGTCCACAGCCCCACAGCCCAAAAGGTCATTAATCCCCCTCCCAAAGGGGAATGTGATACCCAAGCTCCTGTCAAAGGACCAGATGGGACACAAACCCAGAACGAAAGCCATCAAAGAGCCTTCTGGTCACCTAGTTCAACAACCCCCCCCCCCCCATATCTCACGGGGCAGGGAACTAAAGATCTGTGAGAAACAGAATTTTGGCTGATGTGAACTCCAAACTAAACGAATTCCCTACTCAACAATACCCTATCTCAGCTTTTGGATGAAAATGCTGACCTGGAATTTCACAGAAGTGAGAAAAGAACCCCAATACCCAAGCCACGGTCTTCATTTCAAAAAATACGGAACTTGAACCCCACAGTGCCAGACAGGATACCTAAGATTCCAGCAAGCCCACTACAAACGCTCAACTCAGTTATTACACGCACGGTCCTCTTTGCTGCCAGGACCTCCCCTACCCAAAGCAGGAATCACACCCGCAATCAACAAGGGCCCGACCCAGCCCGACCGCACCCCGTCCTCCGGAAATGGTGCAGGACCTCAAAGGTCGCGGATAGATGCTAACAGGCCAAACTCTATAGAGCCCAGGCTCCCCAGAGTTCTTTAGAAACTTCTACCCAGTGACCCGCTAAAGGAGGGCCTAGCCAGCGGCGGGGACCGACCGCCCAGGGTGAAATCCGTACTGTCCCCCCACCCCCGGAACTGCAGAGGAAGCCGGCCACGTGACTCAGTCGCTTCCGGAGTGGGCGGGAAAAGGAGAGCAGCTCGGCCCCTTCCCCTGGAGTAAAACCCGCACCCTGGAGGCAGTAACACTTCCAAGGCCTCGAGGCCCCTGGGTATCATTCTACCGACAGGCGGTTCAAGCCTGTCCCCTGCGGGCCAGGGCCTGGGCAGTTATACAACCTACAGTTATCGAAGTCCTCGGGTCCAACACAGGGGGCGGGGTGGTTTCCGGGCGGTGTTCGCCTGGGTCACTTCCCTAAACTCGACTCCACCCTGAGGCCCCATCCAGGAAGGCCGATGGCCCCACTTGTCCAGGGCTTCGGCTTTGGCTCCAACGGCCGGGCCCGAGTGTGTGCGCAAGCGCCCAGAGCAGCGCCGTTCCAGCCGGGGCCCAGGTTGGAGGGTCCTGCTAGCTTTGTAAACCGGCTCGACCCTGAGCCGGGCTGGGGCCTCGGCGG